AAAAAGCTCATCGTAAAACAGGAAGCGTGCGCATCTTGAAAACTTTCTCCGGCACTTTCAAACGACCGCCGCTGTCGACAAAGTGCCGTCCGCGGAGCCAAACGAATTCATACGACAACAACAAGTGAATAACAAAGAAAGTAGAAAGCACCCAAACAGTCCGCCTCCAGATCAGGTCTCACGGCGAGTCAAAAGCCCGAGACTCAAAATGCCCAATTTGGAGCCTCCGCTGGGTTCTGGCTACCTCCAAGAGTGTCCGGTCCGCAGACCCGAGGCAGCGGGCGGGAACGCTCCGAGAGGTTAGGCGGGGCCGCGCCGTTTCAAGATTGGGAAACAAATCAAATAGAATCCCGATCAAAGATTATTGCCAAAAAGAAGCCGGAGTGCAACGTGTTGAGCGCAAAGCAGAACGTCAACGCGAATGGAAAAGACGCAGCTCGACAGCTCGTCGAAACGCCGGTGGGTTTTCTGCCGGCGGATCTCAGAAGGGGCCGATGGCCGATCGATGTCTCCGTGTGGTTCCCGTCAGGTGCCAGGCGTCCGTCCTCGGTGTCGTCGCTGAGCGGGATCGTGGGCAGGCTGATGTCACCGGGCGAGCGAGGAGCCTCGTCGTCGTCGTGCACCTCGGTCAACACGGTCTGCTCGGACGGCGAGCGGCCGGCCTCCCTCTCGCTCTCGTCGTCCGCCTCGTCGGCGTCCCTGCAGGACGCCTCGTCCTCGTCCTCGTCCTCGTCGCTCCCTTACGGCGCCGTGCCCGCCTACGACGCCGCCGCCGCCGCCTCCTCCTCGCGCCCGCCCGAGAGCGACCGGTCCGACATCAGCCTGGACCTCACCCCGCTGGCGGCGGGAGGGGGCGCGGCGAAGGGGGGGCGCCCGGCCGATCCTGCGCCCCGCCAGCTGTCTCGGCTGGAGAGAGTCGTCATGGAGATCGTGGAGACGGAGCGGGCCTACGTCAGGGATCTCAAGAGCATCGTGGAGGTGAGACCAGCGTCGCGCCACCCACCCGATCCGTCCGTTCACTCCGTCCGAGGCGCGAATTGGAAATGAAAACACTCGCGAGGATCTGCTTTAATTGACGCGCCAATACGCAACTCTTCGCTCGAGTTTATTTCTCGAGCACCGCCGTACGCCCGGTGCTCCGCATGGACAAAAATAGTTGGGACAATCTAACGAGAAACCAATAACAAAGACAGCAGAACAAGTCAAACGAAAAAGGCAAATCTCGTGCGGTGTCAAAAGCCAACGAATCAAAATGAGTTGGAAGACGAGTGACGCTCCCTCTCGATACGAGGAGCAGTCAAGAGGCGAGCGGCGGCATTCTGGAGCAACTGCAGACGCTTGATGGAGGATCGCCGACTCCAAAGTCAAGTGCGTTCCGCTCATCCGGTCGAGGCGTGAATGACTGGATCTCAAAGTGCTCACCCGACAAAGGAGAGCCATTTTGACTTGAACAAAAACACAATTTAACCCCCCCCCCCCAAAAAAAAAGCCTGCCTTTTTTTTGTCGGGGTTGAGGTAGGGTGTCATTTTCAATCGCGCGAACCATGATGCGCGATGATGTCATCACCCCCAAAACATGACATCACTGCATGCTTTCACAAACCAACATGACATCACCAGACAATGATGACATCATCAAACGTTTCGGCAAAGCAATCCCACAAAACCTTCTGATGTGCGTGCGCGTGCAGATTCATCGGCCAGGTGTGACGCCTGCAGGCGAGCTTACCTGCTCTTTTTTCAAAAGATGTTCAAGTACCGGCCCTTTGTTCCACGCCGATGTGACATCCAGTAGTTTGACAAATGCGCTCTTGTTTTACCTTTTGAGGTATTAAGGAGGCCCGCTGCTTTTTTTGGGGGGGGGGGCTGATTGGGGGGGTGACACGCTTATGACAACACAAACATGTACGTTGGGAATATGATCATTTTTCCTTTGAAATTGGACCCGCGACCCCCTTCTGTCTCCATCGGTGTCGTTCGTCCGTCGCCGATGGCCCAAACGCCATTGGCTAGTTTTTTTGTTGTTGTTGTTGTTGCTGTCGTTGTTTGCCACACCCCCAAACATGTGATTGGCTGCATATTTTGTCATCTACAAAAAAATATATATATATATGGTAGCGATCATTTAAAAACCAAAAATTCCAAAAATAAACGTCTTTCAAAGGGGCTCCATTGGAGTTGACGTCTCCGACGGCGCTCGTCCTTCTGCGGTCACAGCGACAAACAAAACATTTCAAATGAACCCCGCAAGCTCAAGATTGACGTGATCGGACAAACAAAGGACGTTTTTGCTCTCACCTTAGCTCACGCTAAAAGCAGAAAATGGCGGCTTTTTTTTTTTTCCCGCCCAATCTTTGTTGTTGTCATTTTGTTCGTTTTGGTCAACGTAACGAGCTTTGCTTTGATTGTTGCAAAACGCGAGCGCGGCCCGTGTCTTGCTTGCTATTCGCAAGGTTTGAGAAGGTGAAGGTTGCGCTGAGCGAGTTTGGGCATTGGAGTTGTTTCCCTTGCCGGACAGTTTCGGGTTAGCGTTTTTTGTGCGTCCGTTGACGTCGTGGCCTCAAGGTCAGGAATGAACATTTCAAAACGCTTGACCGACGGGCGGCGCGTGTTCCCGATCGGAGGTGTTCGGAAACCGCGATGGAATTCTGCTACGTCGGTCCTTTTCCCAAAATGGACCCATCGGCATCCATCGCGGGTCTCGCGCTCATCCTGTTGGCACGTTGCCCTGACGACCAATCTGGAGGCGTCTCCTAAAAAAAGAAACCCCGAAACTTTGCTACATTCCGAGAGGCGCACGCGTGACCTCCTTTAATGCTGCGCAAAGTCTTCTGATAAGAAAGCCCAAATTCCTCAAGAGCTGATCGTGTGTTGGTGCTCAGTGCGCCCCCCC